TTCTTAGATTTTTTGGTAAGTTTTCAAGCCTTACCAGAAATCGGCAACAAGGGTCTCTTGATATAAAAGGTACAGTTAAGAAAAAAACCCTTCCTTTCTGCATTTTTTAGGGTTTAAGAAAAAACCTTCAAGTTTTAGGGTTGTTATTGCTTCAGGGAGGTAATTAGATTTGTCTCCTCTCCCTTTATTTTTCTTTGCTCTTTGGAAGATTCAGTAGTTCCTTTTAACAGGACTGATACGGTTCAGTCTCAATAGGCCAACTGTCACAAAATTAGGGTTTTTGAATCAGAACCCTCCTGTTATCTGCTACAGACCCAGTAGGCCGAATGGTACAGTAATTAGGAAGCATTCTAATGAAGTTTGAAAGCCAAGGGGAGGGTGTTTTTAGGGCTGGTTCAGGCAGCATGGTTGAAAACACCTTCCAGATTACTACTCTAAAGTTTGATGGTTCAAACTACTTAGAGTGGGCCCAATCAGCCATTATGGCCATTGGAGAAAGAGGAAAGCTGAACTATTTGTTGGGCGATGTGAAGGAACCAACCAAGGAGGATCTCACTTATGCTAAGTGGATTCAGGAAAATTATTTGGTGATGATATGGTAGTGCAACTCTATGCAGCCACACATCAGCCAAAATTACTTATGGGCAAAAACAACTAAAGAAATTTGAGATGCAGTTTAAGAAACCTACTCTTAGCCCCTTAATGTTGATAGGGCTTATGAGCTGAAATGTGAAGTCAAAAATCTCAAACAAGGAGAGAAACATGTCTTTGTTTATTTCTCAACCCTAAAATCCCTGTGGCATGAGATTGACTACCTTGAGACAATTGAATGGGAGAGTCAAAAGGTTGCACAAACTTACAGAAAACAGATTGAAACTAACAGAGTATTTGAGTTCTTGGTTGGTCTAAATTCTAAATATGATATTGTAAGACAACAACTATTGACAAGAGAAAGTGCGACTCTATCTCAAGGCTATTCCCTAGTGCATAGTGAAGAGACTAGGAGAAAGGTCATGTTACAGCAGCAGCCTTTTGAATTTGCCTTGGCAGCAGTTAAACCCAAGCTAGGGGGAGATAAGGAAAGGAATATAAAGAAAGAGGCTAAAAAGAACCTAGTTTGTGAACATTGCAAGAAACCTAAACACACCAAAGACACCTGTTGGAAGTTGCATCCACATCTAGTTCTAGCAAAACTTGGAAACAAAATGGGTAATGCCAATATGGCTGTCAACACTGATAGTGCAGCTTCAATGGCTTCAAGAGGTACCACTCTTGATACCCTAGCTGCAGTCCGAACTACTCTGACACAATTAGAAAGTGAAGTCAGTAATTCAGTATCATCTCCTCAGCCATTATCAGTTCCTTCAACCTCATCTTTTGCTCAATCAGGTAATCGGGCCTCAGCTTATCATGCTTCAGCTCCAAGTAATACAGAACATTCTTGGATAATAGATTCAGGAGCATCTGATCATATGACTAACTTGCCTTTACTATTCTCTACCTATCATTTATCTTTTGTTAAAGACAAAGTGTCCATTGCTGATGGATCTCTTGTTCCTGTTTTTGGCAAAGGAGACATCAAGTTGTCTGATGCAATTTCCCTATCCTCTGTCCTACATGTTCCCAAGCTTAATACTAACTTGCTCTCAATTAGTAGCATTACAAAAGGGCAGAATTGTTCAATAACCTTTTTTTTCCTGATTGATGTGTTTTTCAGGATCTGGAAACAATGAAGGTGATTGGGACTGGCCGTGAGACAAATGGAATCTACCTACTTAGAGGAATTGCTCATCAGGAAGATAGTGAAACTAAGAAATCCTTTGTTTCTTAGTTTGTTGATTAGGTGATGCTTTGGTATAATAGATTGGGCCATTTATCCTTTTAGGCTTTGAAAAGTTTGTTTCTTAGTATATTTGAATCTGTCCAGATGACTAGTTTGAAATGTGAAAGTTGTGAACTTGCAAAACATTGCAGGACTACCAATTCATTAAATAATAACAGAAGCAATATTCCTTTTGAAATTGTGCATACTGATGTTTGGGGACCCTATCATACCGCTGCCATGGGGGGTACAGGTATTTCTTATTATTTGTTGATGATTACACTTGATTTTCTTGGGTTTACCTTATGCGTTCTCGAGATGAGGTTCCAACATTAACTCAGATCTTTCATTAAATGATTTTAACCCAATATGGGGTCAAAATTAAAATTTTTAGATCAGATAATGCAAAAGAATATTTTGCAAACCCATTAGCCTCCTACATGCTTGATCATGCGATTATCCATCAGAGTACCTACCCTTATACATCACAGCAGAATGAGGTTGCTGAAAGAAAGAATAGACACATATTGGAGGTAGCCAGAGGCATTATGTTTACCTCAAATGTGCCTATACGTTTCTAGGGGGATGCTGTTTCTTACAGTTGTTTATCTCATCAATCGAATTCCCTTACGGGTTCTTGACATGAAAACTCCATTTACCCTTTTATACCCTGATAAAGAATTATTTACCATTCCCCTCAAAACCTTTGGGTGCACTTGTTTCGTTCAAATCCTAGGCCCTCATCGTTCCAAATTTGATCCCAAGGCCTCCAAWTGTATTTTCCTTGGTTATGCCCAAACTCAAAAGGGATATTGTTGTTATGAACCGATTTCTGGAAAAAGATTTGTCTCAATAGATGTCACCTTCTTTGGGGATAAACCCTATTATCCAGGGTTTCTCTTTAGGGGGAGAATAGTGAAGCCGGGAGTAGCTCATCGGAAGTTCCTTTTCTAATCCCATTAAGTGAAGAAGGATGTAATGGGGAAGGATGTCAAAGGTGCAAGGATGTGAAAGTCTATCACAAACAATGGAGACAGGTCAATTTTGGACATCAACAATGCAGGCCAGTCCCAATCCCCACTACAGATCTAGATCCCAGTACCACAGTAGCCCCAGTTCCTTTTACAGATCTAGATCCCAGTGCCACAGTAGCCCCATGTTCCTTCTACAGATCTAGATCCAGGTACCATAGATACTACAGATGGGAGACATTCAACCATGGAGCCTTAACCTTCATTCAGTGATCTTGATCTCCCCATAGCAGTCCGTAAAGGCAAACGCCGTTGCACCACAACTCACTGCATTTCTCAATTCCTATCCTATGATCATTTGTCTCCCTCCTACAAGTATTTTCTTGCATCCATTGTTGATATTCCCATTTCCAGAACAATACAAGAAACATTGGAAGTACTAGAATGGAAAGATGTAATAAAAGTAGAAATGAATGCCCTCATCAGAAACAATACCTGGGAGATAGTTAATCAACCTAAAGGAAAGAAACCAGTTGGATATAGATGGGTATTCACTGTGAAACATAATGTTGATGGTTCTGTTGAAAGGTATAAGGCCCGATTAGTTGCAAAATGATTTACTCAGACATATGGTATTGACTACTTAGAAACTTTTGCACCAGTAGCAAAGATGACCACTATCAGAGTATTATTATCTATTGCAGCTAGTTACTCTTGGCCGTTGTATCAGATGGATGTTAAAAATGCCTTTTTCAATGGAGACTTGCAGGAAGAAGTTTACATGCACTTGCCTCCAGGATTTTATGGTACGAAGACAGGAAATGTTTGTCGGTTGAACAAAGCTCTATATGGACTAAAACAGTCCCCCGACCTAGTAGAACACTGGACTCCTTGGTTATATAAGCTATCAGAACATTTAGTATTCTAAACCAAATATCCATTGTGTTCATTTGAACCTCCGAAATCAGTGCCTCGTCAGTATGTGCTTTGAGAAGAAGGGGCTAATCTTTAATCGTTCAGGGCTCCTCCCTTATAACATTCCTTCGTCCTTCTCCCTCGAAAAAGATATCCAAAGCAGGTCATCGTTCGATCTTTCGATCTTCATATTACCCTTTATCCACCACCACATATTTTTGATTTGGTCCATCACTCTAGTGACATTTAGAGGCTTATAAGATAAAACCTTTGCTTAGAGGCCAGCTTTTCCATTAGAGCTTCACGTTAAAATCTTCATTGTTTCCCATGTGTTCTCCTCCCCTCTCATTTCCATAGCTTTTGCCTTTCAGAAAGGCCTACCGTTAGACACCAGGAAAAGTCTTAAGTTCCAAAACTCAAGCACTCTCTTTCCCTTAACTCTAAGCTCACCCCCTTTCAATTTTGCTTATGAAAAGCTAATTTAACATGACTCTATTGACACATGAAAAACCAATATCTAGGGCTGGCAATTTTAACTTGAAACTAACCCACCTATACTCATTAGGGGTGTTCAAATTTGGTTGATAAACCGAAAACCGAACTGTACTAAACCGAATAAGCTAATTCAGTTCAATTAATTCGACTATCGGTTTGGTTCGGTTTAGTATTTTTTTTTTAAATTGGTTTCGGTTTCAGTTCGTTTTGATTGGAATTTTCAATCGAGCGAACTGAAAACCAAATTAATATTGTTATTTAGTTAAGTATATTAAACATTAATGTTTTTATTTAATACTTTATGCTAATTAATTATTATATTTTCCAATGAACAATTAATAATAATTAATTAAAACCTAGACTCATTATTAATTGTTTATTAGTCATTAATTTTTCATTAATCATTAATTACTTTTGAAAATAGCCAATTCATTAATTTCAGCCTATTTTAGCTTTTTATTAATAATAGTTAATAATTAGTTAAATTAAAATTATTGGGTTTTGGGGCCATTTTAACTTTTCATTAATAACACTTATTAAATGCTTGCCTTTTATGTGGAACCTAGGTCCAACCAAACCAAAAACCAAATTGAATTCAATTAGGGTCAGTTCGGTTCTAAAATATAATTTGATTTGATTTGATTAAGGGAAATGGTAAAACTGAATAATCAGTTAGGTCCTCGATTGGAACTGAACCAAACCGAACCAAATGATTGTACACCCCTAATACTCACCCATTCTAATAGGAGTTCGGATCTCCTGTCCACCAGAACTTTGCCCATGTTTATCGCAGCCACACAGGTAGGCGTGGGCAGGAGATCCGGAATCTTCCAGTGGCTCATATGGGTCAAATGATCCATTAGGGTCAGGGTGGATTGTGTGAGGGTGGACGAGAGGCCAGAGCCTAGAGGGTCGGTCCAGACTCGAGAGAGAACACCGCAAGCCAGAACAGAGAACAGAGATCTCTCTTTTTTTTCTCAGTTCTCTGTTCTACCATTGAAGCTGTTAGGGTCGAAAGCTATTAGGGCTTGGAATCTGTTCCACCATTGAAGATTAAGTCATAAATCTCTTCTCTCAGTTCTCTGTTCCACCGGTCACTATATCGAGGGCAGGGTTGAAGGCTCTTAGGGTTTCAACGCCGCTGTTTCGCCATTGAAGTTGTTAGGCTCGAAGTTTTTTCTTAGTTCTCTCTGTTCCGCCATTGAAGCAAGTTTATTCTCTTAACTTTAATGCATCTGTTTCTCGCCGTGCCACTGTTTTCATCGCCGCTGTTTCTCAGAGTTCTCAAGTCGGGTATAGATCGGAGCTTTGGATAGGTAATTCTTTTGACATTGTTCGTCTTCTTTAATCTCATAGTTGTTATATAGTGATCGGCATACTGAAGTAGAAAGTCAAAATGGAGTAATCTTCTTTAATCTCAAACCGCTGTTTCTTAGTGTACGGTTTCTAGTTTCTACCTAGCATTTGATTTCAGATTGAAGAACATAAAATTTCTATTTATATTCACTTAACTTAGACATTGTGACTGAGTATTGATCTGTAATCATCCTGTTCTGTCAATGATTTGTAATCATCCTGTTCTGTTACATATCAACTCAAATCTGTTGCTTTTGTTTATAAAGAGGAAGGAAAAAATATCATGGTGTTCAAAGATTATGTAACACTGACAAATTTTTTTTGATGAATGGTAACACTGACAAATTTTAGAATGCTACTATGAAAAAAGTATGTAATCATTGTAAGAGCTACAAAGATTGTTAGAACTGAATGTGAAGATTGGTGATAGTTGTGAGTACCAGTACCACCCCATTTCCCCTTTTCAAAGATTCCTTTCCTAGAGTCCAGAACATTTCTCAGACTCAGCCTGTCATCAACAGTTGTGCTAGTAATGACACTCTACAACAATTTGTCTTTATTATTTGGATGGGTGTGCTAGAGAATATGGTAGCTAAAATACATTTATGTTTTTCTTTTGATAAGTAATAAAATACATTTGTGTTGCCCCTATGGTTACATCATATAATGCCTTCATATTGCACTCTCCTAATTCTGGTTTAATCAAGAAATCTCTTAAGCAAGGTGGGAATTCTTTGTCAAGTTTTGTTGCTCAATGGGAATGTTGGCCTGGACATTCAGATAGCACTTGACTATGGAACTGTCAAGGATGGCTCAGAAGTCCTCCTTGTTGGACCACAGTTTTATTTGCTGCACATAGCATCACACCAATATGATGAAGCAATCTCATAAACAAAATGGTGTTGTTACGGATGTATCTGAGACATGCCTTTTATTTGATTTTGCAACTTCAATTGTTACTAACAATTGAAATATAGACATTTGAGTGAAGATCAAACTCCTTTGAATCTCCTTAATGTTGCAAAAATTTCTGAATGAATGATTATGCTCTTCGTTGGTATGATAGAAGAAGAGAATTATGGGTTGTAGAAGCTTCAACCAGAGGAAAAGAGCCTTGGTGACTCAAAGATAGTGATTGAATCGAAGCTATAGCTGGGAGATGGAGAAGAGAAGTTGACATCGGAGCTAAGGAGTTCTACTTTGAAGAAGGCAAAAACAAAGGTAAGTGGACTTTAAAGATCAGAGAAGAAAAAAGGGCCACAATTTTTGTAGTTGCGGACGGCTTTCGCCCTGAAAAAACTGGGCTGGAAGAATGCAATGAGCATAGATGGGAGAAGTTTTGAAGCAGAGATGAGAAGAAACATGAAAGGTTGGTTTGTAGTGATCATGGAAAGATTCAGTGATAATAGAAAACAGATGTTGTGTGTGCCAGAGGGTAGAAAGAGGATAGGGTGGAGATTGTTTTCAGGCTTATTATTGAATATGGAAGAAAGACAAAGACCAAAGCAATGCATTGGCACAGAGGATGGTGATAAGCATAATCACAAGTAGAACATGAAGGAAGGGAAAACAGAAAAAGGAGTTCCACAAGCCATAGCATGCAGTGATACCAGAAGTCGAAGGTTGTCTTTTGGTACAGATAAAGGAGCCTGGGAGAAGAATGTGATCTTAACTTTAGGCAAAAAATCACAGACTGGGGAAGAATAGCGGAGATGGTTGCAGAGAGATTTAATTTTAAAAGATTCTGTGAACATTAAACCCTTTGACGATTTGAAGGCTGTTTTAGGTGGAATTAGAAAAGAAGTTGTATTTAACATTACTGAATCAGTGGAATCTCCTGACAGTAGGGTAAAGGTGGAGAACTAGTATTTGTCTTGTAATCAGATTCTTACCTCTGAAGAAAATATTGAGCTTCAATTTGTGGGACTTCCGTTTAATCTCTGGAGGGAGGAGTTCCTTGAAAAATTGGTTCAAACTATAGGTGGTGTTCTGGTTACTTATAATCTGCAAGACCTTCATGCTGCGAGAGCTAGAATCAAGGGCCTAAAACCTGAAGAAATTCCTAGATGCTTGAACCTTTTCACTGATGGCCTTTGGCTGAAGGTCTGGGTTCTATTGGAAGTTGAAACGTCTCTTTAGTTGAAATTTTCTAAGGTTGAAGATGACGATTGCTTTGAAGGATGGATCACACGTGGAAACCAAGGGTCGAAAGCTGGTGGACAATCTCAGAAGGATACCAAATAGGCTCACGTGGGTCAGACAGAAAGGCGTTGGATAATAAAGAATTTAATTCAAAATTACTTCAAATTGGTGAGTGAGGTTCAGGCGAAAAAACTTATGCGGAGGCTATTAAGGGTGGTGCCATGTCACCTAAAAGAATGGGCGATTGCTTTGAAGGATGGATCACACGTGGAAACCAAGGGTCGAAAGCTGGTGGACAATCTCAGAAGGATACCAAATAGGCTCACGTGGGTCAGACAGAAAGGCGTTGGATAATAAAGAATTTAATTCAAAATTACTTCAAATTGGTGAGTGAGGTTCAGGCGAAAAAACTTATGCGGAGGCTATTAAGGGTGGTGCCATGTCACCTAAAAGAATGGGCCCACAAGATGCTTTTAAGATAAGTCAGAGATGGACTGGACCAGATCGAGAGGCTGAGCCGTTCTTAGGATTTGGTTGGGTTAGCAGAAGCTAGCCAGGTGATATCTTAGACAATCACGTGACTCAAGTGGTGAGGCTTTCGATTGACTCAACAAGTGGAGACTTATCTATTCATCCATTACAAGAGAAGTTCCCTGTCGTTTCAGAGCAAGTGGGTCTATGGGAACCGCTTCGAGAGCTCAAGAAAGTCAATAAGGAGTGTGGAGCACGATGGCCATTGTCTAACTCAGATCAGAATAGTCAGATGAAGCTTCCGCTGAGCTCAATAGGAACCTCGAATGAAGTTAACAGTTTCAACTTCACTGTGCAGAAAGGCTTGAAAGATTTTCAGATCAGGAAAAAGAAAGTCGATTAGAGAAAGGTCTTAGGGCTTAATAGACCAAACTTCAAAAGAAGAGGAAAAGCAAGTAGTGTTTCGAATGAGGCTATAGAAAGAAAGGGAGAAAGGTGGATCTGGGTGTTGCAAGGTTTGACAAAGACAACAAGAAGAGGATCGTTGGTGAATCAGGTGTGTACCTAGACGAGAATCCTTGTTCTTTTGCATCTGGTGTTTCTGGACACTATTCCCAGGATAGTAGTTGTCTCGATGAGATCTGCACTTCCTCGGAAGAGAGTGCCTTTGTTGATTCAGAGAGGCTGGAAAGGGGGGGAGAAGGGAGATGGGAAAGGAAGTAATAGCACAGGAATTGAGTTGGAATATGAAGATAAGACTGAAGGAAAGAAAGTGTTAGATGATGATATGTCCATTGAAGGTTAGGCTGAAGGTTGTTTTGAGGATGGTTTGCATTTTGAGGAAGTAAAGGCAGGGAGGTTGGGTGTGGACTTGGGTTGAAAGAGCAAACGTGAAGAGGAGGAGAAGGAACAGAAGAATGGGATAAGTAGCAAGAAATCGTGTAACTTGTGAAATCATGATGTAGTGCATGTGGCAAAGGTCTTTTCAAAAGTAAAACTCGGCCCGGCAGGGGCTGGACCTACAAAAAGATTCAAATGGGTGTACAGGAGGAAAAAAACATGAGGCAATGAGGCAACGAGTACAGAACACGGGGGCAACGATGCAAGATTAGTCATCTGTTCCCCTTCCAATAAGGGGACAATAGGAAAATTATGTGAGTGGGATGGAATCTGGCTTTGGTCCAACCGGGTTGCAACAAAATAATGAGGGTGCTGATGGAGGTTCAGGTGGGGTGTCTCTCTAGAAATTAGTGGATAGAGAGGTCTTGGTTGGGAAAAGCCTGGGTCTGTGTTTCTGGGGTGGTGAGGAGTTTGCTAGAAGGGTATTTGAGGAGTTTGAAAGAAGAAAAAAAGTAGAGAAATTGAAAAATGAAATCCTTAGGGAAGGAAGAAAGGAATGGGATGAAGATGACTCTCACCAGGAGGATATTTTCACGGATGAAGATTGAAGTTCTGGTGGTTTGCAGAGAGGGGCTTTTCTTTTGGTTTAATTGTCGGGCGGGTGGTCTGTGTATTCACGGAAGTTCATCATTGGGTCTTTTCCTTTGTCCTTTCCTCGGATTTAATTGGGTATATCTTTCCTTGTAAGCTGTGGGGTTTTTCGATTTTATGGTCTCTCAGAGGGTGTTCTTTACTGGTGTTATCTTATCACCTTACTGTTGTACCTCCTTCCTTTTTATTTTAATATTTTTTTCTTGATTCTTCAAAAAAGAAAAATTAGATTGAAAATTTTCAGTGATAAACATTACATTGGGAACATGAACACTTAGAGTCTTGCTTTGTTGACTTGACTTCAAAAATTTACTAACTGAATAAATGTTAATCAAGAAAATAATAATACTTTGGGGAAATTGATTCACAGAGCAGATTTTAGGGGGCTCATTAGAGGCTGGAGAGTTGGGAGGGCGGAAACCCCTCTTATTCACTTGCAGTTTGCTGATGACACGATTCTGTTTTGTGAAGGCGGTAATGTGAGCTTTATCAGGAATTTGAAGTCGGTGATACAACTGTTTGAGCAAATATCCAACTTGAAGGTTAACCTTGGGAAAAACTGTGTTGTGGGGGTGAATTTGGAGGAGGGAGAGATCAGGGAGAGT